AGTTTGAGAAAAACAGTGACCTGTTCAATACTTATTTTAACTGTTGTATAGTCCACATGAGAATTTTATTACTGTTTTGTTTCCTGAATAATACACTGCATTTTTGTAGTTGTTTAAGAGTCCCTTGTAGAATACATTGTTAAACTTTTTTTAATTCATAATGGTCTTAAACAAAAGTCTTGCATTTGACTAGGTGAAACCGTCATGAGCCTTTTTTTGATCATTTCTTTATAAATTTGCTTGTTTTACATCAGAGAAGAACAAATCAGTGTGGATGGCTCTTTCTGTGCTCACCCCCATGTGTCTGCTGTTGGGGTCGGTGTCCAGATAGTGCGGGTTAATGTTGAAGGGCACTAAACCAATGGCATTAAACGAGGGTGGAAAAACGATGGGCATGTCATTGGTGGTGTTGATGCTGACGGTGGAGACGTTGCTTCCCGCACTCGATCCCATGTAAGGAATTCCATCCTATAGGGGAACATCCACACCTCTTAACGATGACCGGTATATCTACGATATATTTCAGGTTATGATTAAACAGGATGTAAACTGACCTGAAAAACTCGCTTTTTTATCTCAGTCACCAGGTTGTTGTCGTAAAGTGCTTTCAGCAGGCGAAATGTGTTACCGCCACCTGATGGACAAAACACAGCACTAAGAGCACATCGATATAATCTTTTAGTTTGAATTGTATAGCATTTCATAAATGTTTTTAGTATTCAATTTTGTTTATCAATTTTTATTTATTTTTATACATTTTCATGGAGCTTTTTTCATGTAATTTTTTATTTAATTCCATCTTGGTCGGTAGGTAGGTAGTAAAAACACTGATGCACAATTTGGATTCTGCTTCAATTTCTACTGATCATGAGCTTTACAGCACAAAATAGACAAACTGATCAACTAAGAAATTAATGTAAATCTCATTACTGTCACTTTTTTAAAGATATATATTTGTATCGTTACTGTATTGTATTATCATTATTAAGTGTAGTTTTTAACATTCTATATTTTTCGATGAAACTTTGCTGATCATTGTATGTGACCACACTGCATCAAATCAATTCAGTTACTTTAGAATTTCAACAGAATTATAAAAACTTCATACTGTAAATCAGTTTCAGATGTGTTAAAAACTTACAACTTCAGTACTTTGCTCGAATTTCTTTAAAAACAACAATTCAATACAGCTCTACCACCACACTACATCGTATTGAAAGGGTGAAGAGACAATTGTGACTTGAAGTGTACGACCAGTCGCTGTATTAATTGAATTTCATTGATTATGTTTATTATAATTACATAGTAATATTTGATATAAATTATATACATTATATATATATATATATATATATATATATATATATATATATATATATATATATATATATATATATATATATTTGTTTTTAATCGTTGTTATTATAAACTTTTCACTAAATTGGTGTGCTCATAATTGTATTTACTACATTTGTGGAGCTGATCATGGGAACTATGAAAGCATAAATGAGGACTAATGAAATAACCAAAAACCTATTGTAAATCATATAATTTTATATATTTTATTAGAATATATAATATAATTTAATATTGCCATGGTTTAAAATGTTATACGAAACCTTTATTCTGCTAATTATTATGACATATTCGTTTATTTAGTTTGTTTATTAGTACATTGATTAAAATCCACCATACTAGGGCTGCACTATATATCGTTTCAGCATCGATATCGCAATGTGATCATTCGCAATAGTCACATTGCAAGTATATGCAATGTTGAGTGGATTATAATGATCATTTTGCAAGTGTTTTTGAGGACTTTTACGGTGTTTTAAAAGCATTCCGGCATAAGAAAATGTACCGTTTGTAACTTGAAAAAATTAATAACTAAAAATAAAATAATTAAATATAAAATAAAAATAAAATAAAAATAAAATAATTAGTTGATTTGAATTGTTTATAAAATGAAAACTGTGCAGTATTATTTTACATTTGATTATTCAATCACTGTATACCTGAATACATTTCGACTCTTCGGAAAACAATAAAGCGCTGTTTATTTAATTAGCATATTTCTCTATGCTCGTAGATTTGTTTATTAACTTGTATGCACTCCCCTACAGAATCTTCCAGACTAATCTAAAACGATAGATTCTTTACAAACATTTATTCAGCTCATTTGGTAAAATTGTATTTATATCGCAATATATATCGCAGAAAAAAGAAATATTGCAATGTGTCATTTTTCCAATATTGTGCAGCCCTACACCATACCAATGAATATTCCTTCAGCTTTTCTGACAGCATCAACAGGGTCGGGTGACTCGTGGACACTGTCCAGCTCATATCCTGAACAAAGAGAAATGAAGAGCACAGTCAGTGTGTGTGTGTGAAGGTCAGTGTGTCAGTGGCTGTTCTGAGTTCAGATCAACAACACAAACCCAGGCTCTTGAACTTGTCTCTGGCAGTCTTGGTATAAGCATCTCGATCATGCAGAGCATACGGGACAAACAAGACCCTCTTTACCTCCCTTTAAAAGAAAACATTAAATTAACCACATGGCTGGGTAGTAAATGATTACATGTCATTTGTTTATGCTGCATTTTCAAATGTCCAAAATCATTGATTTCAGATGACTCTTTATTTTATTTCTTTTAAATGTCCTTTCTGAAAAGTCCTACTGTCACACAACTTAGCTTTGACTATATTTACGATACTACATGTGTAAATGTGAATATATAGAGGCTTCTGAATTTATAATTGGACCAATTTCTGGTATAACTGATGAATACTTGAAGCATCCTTAGATTTAAAGCTAATATTTCAATAATGAAACAGCACATTCTGAATTGTCAGGCAATGCTCACAGTAAAATCTTAGTAAACAATTCAAATGTTACATTTTAAAACTGGAAATTCTTACATGGCATGCCATGTCTAACCAAATAATAAACTACTAAATAAATGCAGAAGGAAATGTAAAGCAAATATAAATACATGTTATATTTTGGGTTTGAGTGAAATATTCTATTATTTATTCTATAAAGTTCTTATAAAGTTTATTCCTTTATTTCTAACTGTTGTGAGTGACTGAAAATTAGGTTTGCACCAAATATCTAATTCCTAACTCTTCTGGGCCCAGTTTTCAAAAGTGATCCAGTGGAATTTTGGATCACAGATTAGATCAAATCTTGAAAATGGGTTTTCAAAAGTAACAGGGATTTTGAATTAAGATCAGACCATGTCATCCAATCCTACGTGTGATTTAAATCAGAGCTGCCCTTCGGGTTATTGAAAACTTTAAACTCAAATTGGGATCTATTTGATCGAAAAAAAAAAAACAGGATAATCTTGATCCTATCAGAAGAGTGGATTGAGTTGTGATTTTTTTTAACCAAATAAAATAAAAATGTAACTTTTTAAGAGAATGACCACAAACCTAATGGTTACTGATGATATACACCTCACTTTCTTGCCTCACAGCAAGAAGATCGCTGGTTCAAGCCTCGGCTGGGTCAGTTGGCATTTCTGTCTGGAGTTTGCATGTTCTCCTTGTGTTCGCTTGGGTTTCCTCCGGGTGATCCGGAGGGTACATGTGGTACAGGTAAATTGGGTAAGCTGAATTGTCCATAGTGAATGAATATGTATAGATGTTTCCCAGTGATGGGTTGCAGCTGGAAGGGCATTCGCTGCGTAAAACGTGCTGGATAAGTTGGCGGTTCATTCCGCTGTGGTGACTCCAGATTAATAAAGGGACTAAGCCGAAAAATAATGAACGAATGAAGCATGTCACATCTAATGACATATGGTGAACAACAACAAAACAATAAAGCAGTATCGTATTAAAACAAACTAAAAAATGTCAAATGTTTGTTGGTTGCAGTGTTTTTGTTTCTTACCATTAAAACAAACAATGGCTGTTTGTAGCCACTGGTATTTTGCCTTCCTGTTGTTCTTTGCTAAGCCAGTGGGCTACTCTGTTAGTTCGATTTAGGGCTCTGATAAACAGGATTTGGTAGATGGGTAAGTTGAATTGTCCTGAGATTTGGTATGGGTAAGCTAAATTGTCCTTAGTGTATGTGTGTGAATAGAAGTGTATGGGTGTTTCCCGGTGATGGGTTGCAGGTGGAAGGGCATCCGTTGTGTAAAACATATGCTGGATAGGTTGGCGGTTCATTTTGCTGTGGCGACCCCAGATTAATAAAGGGCCTAAGCCTAAAAAAGTTAATGAATGAAATTTGGTATTTGGATCACAGTGATCCAACCCAATGTTCCTTTAAAACTGTCATAAAAGTAAGATAGCTCAGTTAATCCTGGACAGCAAAACATGGGATTTCTAAATCTGGAAAACTTTTCAAAAACTGGGCCCCTGAAGACTGAAGCTAAAACGTTGGTGTTATGTTTTCTAAAAAAAAAAAATGAATGAACAAATGGACTTGTAAGTTACTTTGTGTTACTTCAGCCACAAACTAGTATACAAAACAAGAATTAGGGAAGTTAAGAAAACATGTTAACGTATGCAATATCAATATCAAAAAGTGTTTTTTTCTGCATTTCTAATTTTGCTGCTAGTGACTTACTTTCCAAAGAAGTCTTGAATGTTCTGCTGGCAGTGCTGTAGATATCCTCCTCCGTGAAGAGTGGAGTTTGACACCAGCAGGAGTTTCCTCTTCATCGTTCTCCTCAGATCTGCGCTGCCGGAATGAAGAAGTCGATCAGAAAACACAATGGCCAGCGCTTATTTCTGCTGACAGCACATGTTCTCAGATCAGTGTGGCTGTAATCTTCAGTGTTTTACCTTTGGTCTGATAGTATATCGCTCTGAGCTTTTATTGCACAGAAGACAGTCCTTTACAGAGGCGACAACATGATAAGAAACCCTATACTGGAATCGTCATGTGATCAAACATCACCAAAATAAACTTGAAACATCAGATAACTAAATGAATGTCATTGATTACAACTCCAAAGACCAATTTTAAACATTACCCAATCGTTTTTATTTTTTTATTTATGTACTTTTTTATTATTTATTTCTGAAACTATTTTCAAAATAAAAGTCATAGTAGCCTTTGGATTAAGACAGCAACCAATACACTATTATCAGTAACTGTAGTAGTTACAATTTGTATGTTGTCTTTTTCAAGTAAGTATGTGTCAATCTTCAAAACCAATAAACGACGGTTCGTGACATGTTCAAGAAGATATGAGCCGACTTCATAATAATTTCCAACGAACCTGTAATTTTGACAAAGTGCACTGATTATTATTGTATTTGTGATAAACAAAAAGTCTAGAAACGGAGTAAGCTTTAGTAAAGATAAAATAATATTTTGTGTAACATATGAACGTGCATCAAAATTTAGGACGATATTTTATGCTTTTATTTTGGCATTGCTATTTTATCATGCGCATTTAGCATATATAAAATGCTAGCTGTGCAGGAAGCAAGCGTACAGAAAAAAAGACGGATGGAAATAAACGCTTTTTTAAAATCAACTATAAATGGTTTTGACATAGAAAAGGGTTACAGAAAGTAGTTAAACATCTTTTATTTTGGTTGAATTGTCATTACTGTCACGTGTGTTTTACGTCACTACAAGCCCGCCAGGAAAAAAATGCACAGCACATTGCGGTGAATACTTCATTCTGGTTAGTGAAACATAACTTGTCCAGCAGGAATGGATGACACTAGTCTTGATAGTTTAATCCTAAAACTCCACGACATCCAAGCCGTGAAATTCGGTACTTTTAAACTAAAAAGTGGACTTTCTTCACCGATCTATTTTGATCTCCGAGTAATAGTGTCTCATCCAGCGTTGATGAATCAGGTAAACACGTGCTCGCATAATTTATTCATCAAATGTGTGTTATAACTGAAATCCTTGGAATTTTACTGTCAAAACATTTATTAAAATGATCCACAACACGCAACTATTTTGTCTTTGGTTAGCTCTCATTTACCTGTTGCTCCTCGTGTTTTATGTGATTAGGTGGCGGATCTACTGCATAAGAAATCTGAGGAGGCAGGAGTGCAGTTTGACAGTGTGTGTGGAGTCCCTTACACTGCTCTTCCTCTGGCCACAATCATCTGCTCCAGCAAACAGTACCCCATGCTCATCAGACGAAAGGAGGCGAAGGACTATGGTATACAGTGTACATTTAATTAAGGAATCTGTTTAATGTATTTCCCCTGTTCCTTTCATCGGTAGAATTTGCACAGTTAGCTCCATTAATCCCGCTCCATCATTTTTTTTTCTTATTTCTGGAAGCTCAAAGTGTTGTTTGCTTTGAGCAAGAAAATTTTACCTTTGGGCGGAAAAAAAAAAGTTTCAGTGTCCCATGACCACCAGATCACTTTACATACTTCCACATACTTGCACACAGGCACGTGCACACATAGGGCTCAACCTGTGCAGTTCACATGCCCTTTTTAGTCTTGGATAGAAAATGCCCTTCCAAAATGATCTGAAGTGCCCCAACGACCCCACCCCCCCGGTCCTAAGTTCTCTCGAGAGAATCTTTACTCAGCATTCATTTCATCCAAAATGATCTGAAGTGCCCCAGCGATCCCACCCCCCGGTCCTAAGTTCTCTCGAGAGAATCTTTACTCAGCATTCATTTCATCCAAGTGAACACACCAATGCAGCTGTATGCTGTTTCCCCACCGGTAACTATTTTGACTAGGTATAAAACTTAATTTTACCAGCATAATATCAAAGGAGGCTTCTAGTTTGTTTTAGGAAGGTCCAGTGAATAATATGTATATTCTCAAATTTAGAGACACAGGCATAGTTTGTAAGGTGTTGATTGTAAAACAATAGCTGTGCTGCTTAAAAGAAAAACTGATATTCATACTGGTAAAAGACCAGATATCAAATTGCATCTTTACATGATTTTCAACACATAGAAAGTATAATAAATGCAAGTAAAGTGTGTTAGATCACACACTTCACGCCAGATATATAAGATCTAGCTCCGGACTGCGGATCTTGTCAGAAAATGTCTGTTTTGCTGGGTATCCAGACAATAAGCCAGCAGAGCCAACCAATACCCAAACCTGTTAACCAGTATTCAACTGAATTAACAGTCTCTTATCAATATAGGATTTGACTGAGAAAGCTAGAGAGGAGCAGAAGCATGAGACAAAGTCATGATGATAAAGAAAGAGCAGTGTTTATTGAATAATCTTAGTTGCGTATGATACAATGCTCAGACTTCGTCTGATCAGGGTAAGTCCAACAAGTGTTCATATACCACAAGCAACAGAAGTGGAAAATTACTGCTTTAAGATATTGTCCAGAGACAAAACAGACCTTGAAATAAAGGCATTCTCTTATCTCTTATGCTTAGAAACAAGTATCACTTGAATCCACACAGTCATACGATTATAAAAATATGGGAAAACAAAATCATAATGAAGCAATCATTATATGAAAGAAGTATTAATAAAATATAAAAACAATCAAATGACAAATAATATTAATCAAATCATTAACCAATGATCAACAAAATTATATAAATTTTATATATTATATTATTGTATAAATGACTAATGATCATATGTTTAAATAAAATTATGAAATTAAGAATAAATGAATATAAACAAATGAAAATGAAATGCAACACAAGTGAATGGTTGTTTTCTTGAAACAACACACACGTATGTTTGCTACAAGAAGTCTCAGATCCTTAGTTAGAGTCTTCAAGTGATTGACATTTGATACAATATAATATGGGTAAAATATTTCATCATCATTCAGCAGAATACATATATTTATGTAAAAATTAAACAGCATGCCTATTATGTCCAGCACTTGATTATATTTATAAAAGTGTTTTATTTGGAGATGTATATAAAGATTTAAAATGACAGTTAATTAGTATTTTGGGCCTGCACAGTGATCATCACATTTATTTTTTATTCGACATTACTGTTTCTTGATCTAGATTTGCTTGACAACATTTTTTGGAAATGATATATTTGAATGACAACTGAATCCCATTTAATGGGCGCTTTCATTGCAAAAATGTATGATAGCTGTTTTGTTACTTTTATTTTTTACTAAAGTAAATAAAAATAGCAGTGTACTAATCTTTTTAATGACTGAAAAACATTTTCATGCTTTTGTCCCATTTACATCAACTGCAGCTTAAGTCGCTTCGCATAAAAAGGTCTATGAAAATCTTTTCCATCCAATGTCATGTAGTTTAACTTAATTTAGTGTTGAAATACATCCTAAATTAGTTGCTGTCTAATTTATTTGGAATTGTAAGTACTTTATTTGTATATTTTATTGTGCGAATAGCTGTGTAAATCTTTATTATAATTTACTACATTTAAAAATATATATATATTGTTTATCTTCTACTTATAAATAAATATAAAATAAAAAATAATCAAATATAGAAATAAAAAATATAAAACATAAAAAAAATCAAATTGACAGTAATGCTAAAAAAGTTATTTAATAGAAATTTCACAGTATATCGCTACTGCCCTTTTTGATTTCCCTGGATAGATTTCATTTTAATTTGTTTTTATATTATGGCATTTTTACTTTAATATTTTCAATTACCACTGGTGTAACGGATTACAAATCTCAGTTTGGATCTCGTTATGGTTTTTAGTCATGGATCGGACCATTTTTCAGATCAGCCAAAATAGGGTGCAGATAAATGTCATTTACTTTCCATTTGTTACATAAACAGTACTGCAATAAACTTTTGGTTTGAACAAACAGAACTTACAGCCTGTAGTTTTATTAAAAATAAAATAGAGATGAAAATAAAAGTAAAATATTCAGTACTTTGGAAAATTCACTGTTACTTCTACTGTTGCTGATGACGCTAAATGTATAAATCTAACATTATAATTTGTGCCAACCCGTTTTTAGTCTCATTTTCTATAAATGTTTCAGTTTTTCACTTATAAAACTTAATGTTTCATTGCTAGATGTGTCATTCCTGAAGAATTATTCAGTGACATATTTTTGATGGTTGGTTGTTGCCACCTTTTAGTTAAATAATGTATTTGCTGCTTACAATTTGAGCCGATAATGGTAATTTTAATCTTTCCCATAACCATCAGTGGTTTTATCTAAATTATAAACTGTTATACCAGTACTTTTGTGTTTTTATTCGACTGTTAACTTATAACTCACTCAAAAGACTAAAAAAAGAATCTCTCTATTTCTGCATTTTTCAAACTTTGAATTTGAATGCTGAGATTTGAAGGACTAATAAACATATGCAAATCACCATCATTTATAATTTATATTGCGTGGGTGTTGAGATCTACATTTTTTAATGATTGGTTTTGCAGCTTACACTGAATGCATTAATGCAGGCTAAACGAGTATTGACAGAAAATGCCTTTAATAACCTAAGAAACCCACCACATCCCGAATAACCCACCACAAATTCTTCTGTCATCATTATATTTTACAGGAAAGCCTAAATGTTTTCATACATGTGATTTGAATGACACGAGAGGCGATCTCGCTGGGATTAAATTTAGGATTAGGATTCAACCAGTAAAAAATGTATTAACCGTGTATTAACACAGATTAACCGTGATCCGTTACACCCCTGGCAATTTTTTTATTTATTTATTTTTTTTAAATGATCAATAGTGCAATGCACATATAGTTAGCATGATAAAGAAGATTGATGATTAAGACCATGTGAGCACGTTCCATTGGTGTAACTGAAGTCTAGTTTCATAAGAGTCTCACTTTCTTAAATCAAACCGATCTGCATTGATTTATCTTTTTTTTATCCTCCAGGAACGAAGCGTCTCATCGAGGGAACCATCCGCCCTGGTGACAGATGTCTGATAGTGGAGGATGTTGTGACCAGCGGCAGCAGTGTCCTAGAAACCGCTGAGGTGCTTGAGAAAGAGGGTCTGAAGATCACAGATGCCGTTGTGTTAATGGACAGAGAGCAGGGTGGCAGCACCAGGCTTGCTGACAGCGGAATCACTCTACATTCAGTCATTT